AAATTGTATGCAAAGTGTAACTTTGCATACAATCCAGCGGCACGTGCTTGCCAAGCCGGCAGGTCAGGTACAAGCAAAACACAAAAAAAAAGGAACCCGAGTGCATCGATGCAAGAAATAACATGCCAGGGTCAAAAAGTTCTTGGAGCGCTTTGTGCAATGACTGAACTTGAGACAAACAAGCGTGCTGTGCGGGTTCAGCGTGCAGACATTGCCTTCTTTGCTTTAGCTCACCTCTCTTCAACTTCCTTTCGCGGCAGAATTTTCACGTACCGGGGTCCCTTTCAAAAGAAAGCCTACCGAGAGAAAACCTAGGTAATCAATCCTTCGGCACAGCAGTCTTTGAGTTAAAGGGAGTGTTGTAGTAGCGTATGATAACACTGATAAACGTGCGGCGGTTCTTACGTTTCAGTTTAGAAAGCTCCATATCTGCAGCGACGTGGAGACGGCAACACCCGACGTCGTGCAACCACGGTGACTAACAGGCAGGGACAAAATATACCTAGTTTTCCCACGGTCGTTGCTTTCAGGAGTGAGTGCTTCAGCTCACAAAGTAACTCCCGCCGCTCAAAAACGCAATTTTGTTTCACAGCATGACGGCATGGCTGGTACCCGGCATACTAGCGTCGGAGCGTCCGCCCACGCCCGCGTCTATCGTTGAAATTTGTTTTTAAAAAGACGCGAGACGAGACTTTTGAGACGAGAGCAAGAAACGAGAGGGAGCCTTCATACACTTTTGCCACGTCTGTCTTAGGCCTCATTCACACAGCCGTTTTTTCGCCCGGCCCGGCGAAAACGCCGGCCGTCCTTTTCGCCGGAGGAGAGGGTGTTGGGACCGGTTTCCGTCCGAAATCGGACCGCCGGACCCGAAATGGGCCGAACGAGGATGTTCAACGTCCCCGGCACCGGCGGGAGACCGGGAACGCCGGCGTCCCGCCCCATCAAGGGACAGCCAATCACGAGATCGGAAACTTTCGCTGTATCTGGCGGATTCCCAAAAGTGTAAGTAAGCAACCATAGTTTAAGGAGCATAACAGTAGTCGATTTTCGACTACTGTTTAATGTCACGGAAGATATACAACAGACTTGGGGGTATGGAAATAGATGAGGAAAGCACAAAAAGTCTGGGGAGCGACCATAAGAGAATCAAGATCAGATTTGGCACAGTAAAATCAGAAACGCAAAATCAAAAACAAGAGGGTGGAAATAACTTAAATGATAAACAATTACAGGAGGTATCTAAGCGGATCGAGAACATAGTATCCAAGCTACCAGAAAGAGAATGGACATATGAAGACTTAGTTACTGTTTTCAAAAGAGGATTAGAGAAATATGGAACCAGACAAGGAGGAAGGAAACAAACGCAAGCTCAAAAGCTGGTGGGATAAAGAGGTTAAAGCAGCAATATCGAGACGCCAAGCGGCATCTAGAGAACATAGATGGGCAAAAAATAAGGGGGCCACACCAGCCGAAGTGACAGCAAAATGGGAGGACTTTCAGGAACGAAAGTGGGAGGAATCAGCATTAATATAGGCCAAAATTGGGAGGGCAGGGGTCCAGTGAATGATAGAGATAAATTAAAAGGATAGGAATGCGGCAAAAAGGTTCTGGGAACACATCAGTGCACAGGGAAAAAAGACAGAGGGGTACCAGCAGACACTAATCACACAGGAAGGGACAAAGGTAGAGGGGGAAGAGGCAAGGGAATACATTAGACATACAATCGAAGCAGCATTTTCGGAGTTAGAATCAGATCAGGCCATAGGGAATAATAGCATCTACACAACACAAGAGGAGGATCATAGCGAAGGAGAGGAAATGACCATAGGGGAATGGGAGAAAGCAGAAGGAAGGGCTCCAGCTGGAACTGCGACAGGTCCAGACGGCATACCAATGAGACTGATAAAAGTTCTAGGCCAAACAAGCAAATTGAAACTAAGGCAGGTGATTGACCAGATACTTATGGGAGGGGAGGTACCCAGTGACTGGAAATTGAGCAGGATGAGATTATTATATAAGGGCAGGGGAAACAAAGACAGTATCAAATCATACCGACCAATCACAGTAACTTCAGTTATATACAGACTAGCTATGCAAATCGTAAAAAGAAGAATGGAAGAATGGGCAGAGAGAAAGCAGATTCTGGGGGAGCTCCAAAACGGTTTCAGGATAGATAGACGATTAGATGATAACTTGTTCATAATCACTCAGTGCATAGAGATAGCAATGACAAGCCAAAGGCCATTATGGGTAGCATTTTTGGACATCAAAGGGGCATATGACAATGTGAATCAGGAAAAACTTTGGGAACAGCTAAAAGGGTATGGCCTAGGGGGAACCACGGTTAAGTTCCTAGAACGGGTTTATACGGAGAATAGGGTGATTATAAAATGCGAAGCCGAAACTACAAAACCAGCAGCAATAAAAAGAGGACTTAGACAGGGTTGCCCATCGTCTCCCCTGCTCTTTATGATATACCTCAGTGACCCAGGTAAAAATTCAAAGTGGTTGTACAAGTGGTCCCACTTTAGTTCAAGTGGTCCCACTTAACTTGCAAGTGGTGCCACTTTACTTGTAAGTGGTACTACTTTAATTCAAAGTGGTACCACTTGGGTTCATATCGACCACTTGTGTACCACCACTTTAATTCAAAGTGGTACCACTTGGGTTCACATTGCCCACTTGCACCACACCACTTTAGCCATGTGGTCCCACTTGGAGCCCAAAGTGGTCTGGCTTAGACCACTTTGACTTCAGAATACCAGTTTAAAGGAAAACTGAAGCGGTTCTATATTTGAGGAAAAACACTTAAATCGTCTTAACTTGGCCTTCAGGAACACGAATATCTAGATTATTTTTCAATTTGGCTCACAGAGGCCGCACAAAATCATTTTCAAAGTACCGCTGTTCGATGCCCCTCCTCCCTGGAGTGCGACATTACATATCAAGAGTTTTTGGAATCGCCGCTCTCGCACATCTTCAGCGCTTATCAAAGCTGTGCACGCGCACTCTTGCCATTTTCAAAAAGGTCATCACGACTGGTGTCAGTGTAGGGGAATATACCTGGTAAGCTTGCAATTGCACACGAGCTACACACTTTTGGTGGTCGAAAGATCCTAGTATGATGTAACGACTGGTTGGAGGTTTTTTGTTTAGTCACATCTTCAGGAAAACAAACACGATAATCAGATTCACAGGATGAAAATATGCCAGAATTTACCTCTAACTCATTTTTTATGAACCTCTTCAGAGCACCCCTTTAACTGGTCAATGATGAAATACCATTTTGACATTTGGGTGTCAATTGGCAAATCAAAACTTTCTTGACCATGTGGTGACATCACTCATAGTAACTTTGGATCCTGTGGCAATTTGTATATTTTGGTAGTGTACACTTTACCACTAGGCGGGACTTGTAGCCATTTCATAGCTTGGAGACACCAGATCACTTCGTTTGACTGTGAAAATCAACATGCTTTGTGAAAAGCATATTAATGAGATCGACAATTCAGTATATGACAACTACCAATTCATTTATGTACAATTATTTCTGCAGAAATTTAGCAAAAGTAGGAACAGGAAGGAAAACACTACTATCTGAACATCAAGGAAAGTTAAAAATAAACATGCGTAGCACACACAAATTCCACAGCAAAGCAACCTGCCATTTTCAGCAAGACATAAATGGCAATAAAATCTATCAAGAACTGATGACAACACACAAAAGTACAACTGTGGCACCAAGTAAAAGGGGAAGAAACACAACAAAAACACAGTAACAATGACATGCAAATAACTCTAGTTTCACCTTTGCAGGTCACAAAATATTCACTTAATTGTCCTAGTTCTCTAAGGGAAGACCTAAAAAATTTTGAAACATTATATAATTTTTATTAATTTGGGTCAAACAGTGAAATCAATAATCGCAATAGACCAAAGGTGGCTAAACTGCGGCTCGCGAGCCCCATGAAACTCTTATAGTGAAAAATTGATAATGAAAACCAAATTTCATTATGTTGCTGGGAAACAGCCTGGATATGTTGGTAAATCAGTGCAACCAGTTAATTATGCACCCCATGAGTGCAATAACTAGCAAATAGATGAAAATAATTTTTACTCTTTGATTTGCCTCCCCTTTAGTTTACTTCTAGCACACAAGTATGACCGGTCCTAGGAATCTAGGACCACTCATACTTGTTGCAGAGCTGAGCAAACAGAACAATGCCATCTATGTCCAAGTACATGCATGGGTTAACATGCCCACAGAGCCTGTGCAATACCTTAGTGGGTTGCTTGTGGGCAAGCTTGAGGTGTCCTACGCTTCCAAAATCAGATACATCGTAAACATGTGAAACAATGTACACGTTCGGGCTTCCACCCCCATCACTTTCAGAAAGGATGTGTTCAACTCTGACAAAATTATCTCCCAGCTTCAGCGCTGTCGAGTCCCGCTTTGTTGGAGCTTGGTACTGTGTGCTATAAAAAATGTGCCCAGCAACACGTGCACGGTCAAACTCCACAAGCTCCTGTGCCACTTCCAAGGCCAACTCCTCCTCAACCAGTCTATGCAGACATTGGGGCAGCTGCCTGGGCTTTCCAAGAAGGTGCAAGTCACCTGGCTTGTAGTGTTTCCTCGTCGGAAGGTGTGCCCGGACCTCGTCCGAAACCATATACCTCAGCTGATAAAAGCTGTTGCGGAGGAGAATGCGGGAAAAGATCTGGAAGGGCACACCATTCGACGAGGAAACAAGCTTCAGCAGATGCCCCATGTTTGACTCAAACTGGAAGCAAGATAGTGCCCATAATGGCCCATGGAGGAGCACAGCCTTTGGAAGGTGCAGGAGAGTGTGGACGTTTGAGGTCATCTGTGCTTTTCCGTAGAGGAACTCGGTCTTCACAACAAACTCTGTCATCTTCTCTGTGCCCAGCTCCACATCTTCATCTAGAACTTCCGTCTTAGTTAGAAGATATAAAGCAGATACAAAAAGCTCAAAGTGCGCTTAATATTCAGCTGGCAGCACACCCTTCAAACAAGGAAGGTAGTAATAAAAAAGCCAGCATTGCCACTCGGCTGCTTTCCAATACTTCCTCAGCCTCAGGGCTCGTGGCGGTCGGTTTAGGCACTGTGGCGGCTTCAGGCTACACAAGCGCTCAGTTACGATGGATTGCCGCGAAGGGTGTCCAATGTAGTAATCCTCACCCACACCAGAAAACCACAATTCGGCAAACTGACGCCCTACACCGAGAAGGACGCAGTGCATATAGTCTGGGGTAAAACCCCAGACTATGTCGAAACCAGGCACGTTTAGGAGTGGCAAAGGGCCCTTAACACCGCGGACTGCTTGTTTGGATGCTGCGGCTTCTGCCATGTCTGCAACCATGCCAATCTCGGTGCGATCGTCCATCACCCCGGCGCTCACGGGGTACTTCACGCAACCTGCAGAAGTGACAGTCAAGAAAATGATAAATAACTATGAATGTGTGAGCAGCGATTTTTAATATTAAAGCAAATATGAAGCAAATAATTATGTTGTGCAAATTTTAAATCTAAATAATGTTGAAGCAAAGCAGACTTTTTGCATGGGGAAATACAAAACCTAAAGAAATCAAACTAAAAACTTCAAGACTGCACTGCAGAGATGTTTTGTCTAGCACAACCTGCCTAGACATGCCTAATAGAAAGATAACCGGCAATGATTGTGAGAAAATGAACTTGTTTCCCCAAATTTGAGCAACTCTGTCATTCCAGCCTGGGTTTCGGTGCACTCATTGCAAGCAGCGTGGAGTCAATTGTTTAACCGATGTTCTAAGAGGAGGTTGCTAATGCTGGTGATAACACTCCTTGATATTAAAAGAAGTTTCTAAGGGGACACCGAAGGCATGAAGCGTACCCAGCCTTCGTCACTGCATGAAAAAAAGGCGGCATTGGTCCCACCTTCATTCGCAATAACAGAGTATCGTACAGGGGCTCCGGAAGTATATCTGATGCGTGGGGGAGACATATGGGGGCTCATGTTGCGTTGTGTAGTTCACCTCTGTTTTTCCACACACACAGATATATATATATATATATATATCAGTGTGTCAAAGCGAAAAAAATACGGGTTCGGTTACGGTTCAGGTTCAGGTAAATTTATTTTGTTCCGGTTCAGTTCCGGCTCGATTAATTCGATCCGCGAACCGGTTCGGGGCGCTGAACCGGTTCGCGCGGTTCGGAAATTATAAATGACAAATTGCAACATCAAAATAAATTACAAATAAAACATCTGAAATTAGCGCATACGAAACGGGATACATAGTAGTGTAAGGCTCAGGGATTTCTACCCGGAATGGTTTCTTTATGTGCACTCAAAGGTTACCTCACCGTCGTTTACGCATTCGGACTTCATCTAATTGGGTCCGACGCAGTAGCTGTAAAATCCACGACCTCCTTACAAACCCACTTACAAGTAGAACTTGCTAACTATCCCGCCACCTCGGCGTGTAAGCAATTGAAGGAACAGTGGGGAGAAAATACAGCTTTCTTTATTTGAACTAGCTTTCGGTAACTCAAATTAGACCCTTGAAGAAGTTTTCATTAAACAAGATACGGAATATGAAAAACACTTCACCGAACGCAACGCCAGAAGGACGTAATAGGATAAATATTAAAATAGAAGAGTTTGCTGTCTCACAAATATGTTAGCTTCTAAGTGCCTATACGAAACCGGATGCATTATTATCAAACTCCACAGCCTTTTCTTTTCTCATTCCGATGGAAGCAAGCTTCAAGAATTCGCGCGTTCTAGAAACGTGTTATGAAATGAGCACACAGCAGCATTTAGGATTTACGAGATTGTAAAAAAATAAAATCCTGCGACGCAATTTTTTTTTTTTTTTTTGCACAGCCTTCTAGTTGTTTTTTTTCCGTGCAAGCCGCGACCAGCGCAATACTGGTTCCTATGTCAAGATTCATGGATGCAGCGTTTGTCAAGATTTATGGATGCAGCGTTTACATTCCTAAGACTGAGTGGAGAAGAAAAATATGTAAGCGAGGTGTGTGTCAGTTGACGGCACTTAAAAAACAAATGGCATTGATAGCACATTCATTGTCAACAGCGCGTGGCCGAACCGTTTTGCCACGAGCCGGTAACCGTTATTTTTTTTTTTCGGTTCAGTTTCGGTTCGGGTTTATCGCGATAACAATATAACGGTTCGGGTTCAGTTCCGGAAAAAATACCGGTTCGGTTCCGGTTTTCGGTTCCGGTTCGACACCCTGATATATATATATATATGCAGGGTGATGGGAGGAGAGAAGGGGGGGGGGTTGGAACTGCTTTGAGCATGGGGGCGACTGCCCGCCCCGCCCCGCCCGACCCCTTCCCCCCCCCTGTTTCGGAGCCCGTTATTGTAACGTGCAAACACCAAAAAATGTGCGATAGCTAAAAACATCCTTCTGTCAGCAATCATAGTGTTTCACTATTCACACCCTACAAAGTGGCATCTATTAAATTACTTCTTCAATAATTGTTGTAGTATGCTTGTGCTTGCTAGAAGATGGAGGTATAGCTCCCTAGTGATGTTTAAGGCAACATTTATTAGTGTAGCCGTGCGAATGAGCAACCGCTGAGCTTTGTTGCGCATCATCGTGCCATTTTCACTGGTAATTTCCCCCTGATATAGCAAATTTTTTGAGTATCCTTGGTTTGAGTATCCCCATAGTTTTCAGATGATTAAAATTCCCTGACAATTTCAGGTCGGTAGATACCTTGTAAAAAAAAAAAAAAGCCGTTTACAACTCCCTGTAACGCCGAATTAGAGTGCAGCTCTTGAGGAGGAGTAGGGAAGGTACATCCCTCCTCCCTCCTCCTCACCTTGTCATCCTGCCAGCTGCTCCGTGAAGGGGGCCACGTGAGGTCACGTGACCTCGGGGGAGGGGTCACGTTACCTCAGGGGAGAGTCGCGTGACCTCACAGTTACGCCGACGGCGACGCCACTCAAGCCGGAAACGGGCACCTAAGAGCTGCGCTCTAAAAGTGTGAACGTGGGCGGAAGCAGGGCCTGACGCCACCTCCACCCCACTTTTTCATGCCGAGACCGATGCTGGATCTACATGATGTTGAAGTTTAGGTGCCTTTGACTGAAAATTTGCATTGCAGGAATAACTGACCAGTAGTAATGCTGAACACCTTTGCCGAAAGCAGTACTTGTCCCTGTCGTAATTCTTTCACGAAAGTTAAAAGTTCAAGAGTTTAAAATATTCACATATCCCAATAAATAACTTAAAAACTGGACGATCATATTCTGTTTCCTTACCGTTAATGCAAACCCCAGGATGGAGGCACCAAGAGCACCCGTAATAGCCGTTGTATTGCATGACGTTCTGCATTGCGGCCCTTGCAGGGGCATCGGCCACACAGATGACACAGTAGACCTGGAAAGAAACATTCTATTAATACCATTTTTAACCACAATCTACACAATTCAATAAGTTGCAACAGAGTTTTGCTATAGCTAGCGGTGAGCTGCTAAGAACTTGTCATTAGACTACTGTGTGGGGTATTAGTAATGTTACTCCTTTTTGTATAGATTTACAAAAAAATTGATTGTGCAAAACAAGTGGCATGAACACTAGCCAGTATAGAATGATAAGCAAGAGCAGTATGGTGCACCTATGAAAAATACTAGCAGTTACCTATACTCCATTTCACCCTATGTTGTACCGGAGCGAAGGCTAGAAGCGCGAGCTCATAACGTTGGCAGCTGCCCTTAACGCACGAGAGCATGTGCTGCCGAGATGTGCCCCAGAGAAGGGAGCTCGCGCCCGTAGCCTTTCTTGTGGTACGTCATAAGGTGAAATAGAGTATAGGAGCTACATGCATGCATGTAAATGGCTGCTTTAACTGGAGCCCCGGAAACCATGTGCACATACTAGCGTGGACTCTATTAGCTAGAACACATCGGCGGCGGCCGCCCCATACGCCCAGCACGGCATAGCAGGCGCCGTCCGAAACTCAAAGCGCATGTGTCATATGGCAGATTCTCAACCGTGTTCCGAAAGTAGCCCATAGATTTAATCTCACAAATACTGCGAATCCCGTATTGTAGTTGGGAACCGGAAGTGTTAAGGGCTATTCAGAACAGTATATTGGGAAAGTTTGGCCAATGGGTGGAGCAAAAGCCACCGCCAATGCCGAATATTCCCCCCGCAGCTAGAGCATAAACTAAAAGTGTGACACAGCATCTACCAATCAGCAGACCTCAATGTCACAGTATTGGAAACAACATTTAAAGCGTTCAATCTTGCAGCAGCAATGATCGCAACCATGCAGTTTTCTCTGGTTTGGAGTGCACGTTCGTTTATTCTACCGTTGAATTTGGACGCGACGAAAACCTCATATGCACGAAGTTTTCAATCACTAGGAGTTACACCTTTTTACTCTAGCAACGCTAAAACGGCTTAAATTAGTGTAGTCGCATTTTTAGAGCTCACGAACACCGCTAGGGGCTGTTTTGCGACCCGTGGTTGGCCACGAGATGCTTGGCTATTCATACCAATCAATGGCCAAACTCTCCCAATACACGGCTCTGGGGCTATTTGCACATTAGCGCCACCACGTTGAAACTAACGCAAAAAAAAAGAAAATAGTGCTGCGACACGCCATGCGTGCACTGTCATTTGTCTGCTGTTTCTCTCTATGCCATCAGTGGAACATAGTAGTCGAACATCCCATCGCGAGCCATACCTGCGCGTTGTTGTCTAGTCCGAAATGGCCCGGATGTGCCGGTCGCGTAACGATCATTTCCCGTGTCATCTGCTACCCAGTCTTTAAAACCATGTTTTCAAACATCGCTCACATTATAAAGCAACGCACCCAGTCTTTCAAACCATGTTTTCAAACATCGCTCACATTATAAAGCAACGCGATTACACTATATATGCAGTGGCTACAATAATGTTAAATGGTTAAGGAACATTCCAGATTATTTGATGTTAATGTAGGATGTACATTTCGCAAACGCCGAGCGAGAAACATGCTCTGCTTGAAACTTGGCGCCTGAAAAGTAGCGTTACCTCAAAAAGATTGGGTCTCGCTCAGAGCACCTGACCGCTTCATTGCCAATGCGGAGTTGACGGCACAAGAAAAAGGAACACGATACTCTAACTCTGCAAGCAGAGTCTATACAGTTAATCTAAGGACAATGCCCGCTGGCGTGTTACAGTTAACAGAGTCCAGAATAGTACATGTAAAAGGCCTCAACATTTCAGTGCATACAGGGCGTTCACCTCAAGCGGGGAAACTTACCTTAGAGTTTAGTGTTGAGCCCCCAGTGCTCCACGTGATGCCTTCTTGGGCTAGCGTTTTCATTTGGGCCGCAAAGGCTTGGAGAAGCAAAGTCATGTTCGGGTGCTTCACGCCGTACCATAACAGCGGCAGGACGACGGAGCGCCAGCGCAGACATGGTGGAAGTTCGTTCAGTGTGAGCTGGACGGGCCAGATGGCGTAGTTTGCAGACTTGAATATGGGGCTCCCATCGGCGTTCATGGACACGGTCAAGTCATGAGGCCCACACCCAAGCTTTGCGCGCTGACTTCGATAAGAGTCGCCGCCGGTTAGATCCAACTTGACAGAGGGTCTCGGTGTATTGAGATTCGCCAGAGATTCTGCTAGGTGCTCTTGCACAGTTTCATTGGCCAGCACCGATGCTAGTTGTTTCTCCATTGGCAGACCAACAAAATAGCATCCCTTGGACATAAGGTCCTTTCCGAGGTACTGCTCTCCGCACACCGAGCAGGTAGGCGAGATGCCCTGCCTTTCCTTCAAGCTACCCGCTGTCTTTGCAAGGAGTGTTTCACACGTCGGGCAGTAAAAGTTGAAAGTGACGTCGTCTGGTGAAGCACTCACAAACTTTCTGAACAGATATTTGCTTTCGGGGATGCTGCTGGTTCCCAACAGTAGGTTTTGTAGCTTAAGAAGCTTTTCTATGCCAGTCCATGGAAGTCCTTCCTCAATGGCATAATCCATGATCAGGACGAGAGCGTCGCCAACAGTCATCGAAGTGCCGTTTCCCAGTGGCGTCACGAACTCAACGAATGGCCGATCATAGTCGGAGTCCCGAGGACTTTCGTTCTCGGCTGTGTCAGATTCGTCTTCAGTGTACAGATGTTCGTCTGCATCACTTGTGCAGTCTTCCATTTCGACCAAGGGTTGACGTGGTTGAGTTGTGGAGTAAGGAGACGATGCAGAGGAGCTTGCACAAGAGGTAGGAGTTGGTGTGCTTACGAAGTTTAGCCTATGTGCTGTCGACCTAGGCACACGAACATACGGCGCAGCATCCGGCTCTAAATATTGCTGATATCGCTTCCGAGTCTTGTGCTTGTTGGCAGAAAGCATCTCTTTCACCTTGCTCTTGAAGGACAAAAGTAAGTTGCTGAACGAAAGAAAGTCAAAGCAAACCAAAACACCTGTGAGGTTCAGAAACGTGAGCGTGACCAACGAGCGCTATTGACTTGAGACGGTTAATGGCTTCTGGATGGATGGCTTTTGTTGACTGCGGGTTAAACCGGACCATTTCCCATCCAACAGCATCTGCAAATAAACGTATTAAGCAGTATATAGACATGTTTGTCTTGAACCTATATCATGTAACATTTTGTTAATTCAAAAAATTTTTAATTTTTTTAAACCAGCACATTTGTTATTAGCTTTTATTTTCACACATCCCACTAAACTACAAAATCCAAAGTGCAATCCAAGACAAGCCAAAGCTAGCCACAGCGCGCTGTTTGGAACCTAGGCCTAACGTCCGTCTACGCACGCTGCGGTTACTTCGCTTGTAAGTTGGTCAAGAGTTTAAGAACTTTGGAATGTTTGCGCTCGTCCGATTTCCGAACGAGGTCGGCAACAAGCTGTACGTTGTGCCGACTCGTTACATAAAAGATTTTGAGCCGTCCGACAACGCGGATTTTGATGCGAAGGCTATATACCAAGCTTTCTGGGATGACCCTGAGAAAGAAAGTACCGGGTTCTACTCGGCCCAGATATTGATGATGGCAGGTATGTACTACGGCCAGTTCCCATTCAAAATTATGACAGTCGAAAGATTTGTCGACAGACACTAACAGCTATTCTCCACAATGTTTTGTAGACACCGAAGAAAACCTGGAGAAGAAAAGAGCGTCAAAGCGAATCCGCAAGACGAAGGTCTACGCCTCGGAATACGAGGCTGAAGAGGAGGTCGACAATGTTGCGCCCTCGCAGGCAGGAGCACGAAGGGATAAGCAGGTGTGTTGCTCGAACTTGACTATAAGTTCAACAGGCGAACTTGACTATCAGGGCAACTGGCACACGTGTTTTTGCTTGTTTGCACAGCATTTTCAGGGCAGAGAGTATAATTTGGAGAGTTCCTAATAGGAAGTGGATATTCTGCCGGCAGCCGGCACAATAGCCCGGTAAAAAAAGTGCCGGCAGTTGTGCCCCATTGGGTCTCGTATAAGGTGCAGAGTAGCTCAGTGGTAAGGTGCTTGTCTCATAGGACCCTAATTCAATCATCCGTGTCCTCTTTTTTTTTTTTTTTTGAAAGTTTGTTTTGTTTTGAGAGGCATTTGGCGATATTTAGGACATATCTTCTTTTTCAGGATTAACACTGAAAAAAAAAAAAAGTAAATAAATAAAACAAATGTTGTCGACGAAACTTTGCTATGGACCCCCTCCCCGGGGGTGAATGAAAGACAGTGGGGCTTGGGCCGCCGGTGGACCGTCGCGAAGCGGCGTGTACTGGTAGGCCAATCGGGTCAATATTTTTGTAATGAGCAGCCGCAGACTGTCGCCGCGAAGCGGCGTGAACGCAGGCGGGGGGATGTGTTAACGGGCTCCCCAGTGATACACGCGCCGTCCGAAACTGCCGCCATTTTTTTCCCCGGGCTAATTTGCCGGCTGCCGCAAAATAGTCTCACCCTTCATATTAATTTTAAGTAAATTTTAAGTAATAAACCCATGTGTATTTTTCAACTCATGCTGACAGAATTTGTAAAAAAAACGAGGGGTTCTACGAGGAAGGAAAACATGAAAACTAAGCCAGCCCAAATTGCTTTGTGCACTTGTTTACAACTCCAGGAAAAGAAGGTCCAAAAAGAAAATAAGCAGGCTGGCCGAAGTCGTGCATATGCTGACATCTTAAAGGAACAACTCCAGAGCTCCTAAAGGAAAAATGCTGAGGCAGCTGGCCACCTTCAAGCTCCGGTAAGTGCCATAAAATGCTTGTACATACAAGGTTTTTTTTCTTTGAGTGGTGCCATCATATTGCTATATATTTTAATAATTTTTGGTACAGAAGAAGATGCAACAGGATGCCCCTACGTCAGACAGTGACACAGACGACAGCATAATAGCTATGCCATCATCGCAGCTTGAGCTGAAAAAGAAGGATGTGAGCCACTCGCGCCAGCTATATCAGGAAAAGTGCCGAGAGAATGAAAAGCTCTACAACATAATTGAATCGCTGCAAAGCGCCGTTGATGGTAAACTTTGTGCAAGTAAGTATTATTTAATGTTATATTTCGGTGTGTGAATTCATTGTGCACTTTGCATTACATGCCCCATTTCTGTCACTTTTTATTTCTTATAGGTCTTCCAAGCCCTTGCCTTGCTGCATGTGTGAACATAATAGTTACCCAAAGTTTTCTCTTTGTAGTCAACTTTCATTAGAGCACTTTAAGTTAAAGGGATACTGAACCAAAATTTCGAGCTTGCAAACAAGGCTGGACAGGTAGGTGGGACGCTGCAAAACCCAAAAACATCACTCGTACAGCAATATCTCTAAGGGATCGCCATATTTTTGGAAACGAAGTGCACAATTGAACATGGCCAACGTGACTAGTCACGTCACGGTTCCCATATCTTCTCCTCCTTGCTACGTCCCGTTCAGCTGGTGAACCGAAGTGAGGAAGAGAGAAGCGAGGCCGCTTCTCTCCTCATTTTCAAATTCTTCCAGAGGACAATGACGTCAAAGACATCGCTTGATTGCACCCTTCTTTTCCAAAAGTATGGCCATCCGTTTGGGATATTGATGTATGTGTGATGTTTTGCAGTTCGCAGCATCCCGTTCAACGCTTCTACGGCCTTATTTTGCGAAATATAAATTTCTGTTCAGTATTCCTTTAAAGGGTAGAGAGCATAGCAGAGGTATACATAAATTAAATATAAAAAGCTTTTTTTTTTATTTTTTTTTTTATTGCATTTTAATGCTTTGGATTCTTGAGGGACAAGCTCAGCGACTCTGAACCCAGCCATGGTGAGTAACTTTGATCTTGTATGAAGGTACTATTGGGGACAAAAATCCTTGGGAACCGCAAGCAGCGACTGAAGGGAATTCCTGCACCATCTGCCAGTGGCTCGCCCCACTTTGAGACCACAGAATAACGCATGCATGTCCTACTGGGCTTGCAGGCATGTGTGTTCTCCCAACCTTCTGCGAGGCAATGCTTGCCCCACAATCTGGCACGAAGGGCCCATTCTGAGATTGCTGTGATCTGCAACGGATGCCGTGACTGTAGGTAATACTTGCAGCTTTGCAGCACATATCAACCTCCAATAGTGAGTTGGTTTCAAATAGGGAAACTTAATGCTTTTTTTTTATTATTATATATATATAGCGATCATTGGGCTGCGCTTTCTGATATGGCATCTATAAAGCCACATCACATTGGCGAGTCAACCGAGCTAGAAGCTGAGGTTCTAAAGCCGGAAGTTCCTGCTTGGGCGATACGCACAGCAAAGCTGCAAGCGCTGCCTCCAGTTGCGCCCCCTCGCACCAGACTAGGCAAGCACTGTATTACAAAGCAACGCAGGGGCAGACTTTTCTATAAACACAGTAGAACGCACATGCACCCTTTTCTGGTCTAAACAAGGGATGCACTTCAGTCGCAGCTTGCGCACCCTGGGGAATTTTTCCCCCGACAGTATGCATCTTCCCATTCGCGACTCCGACTAAACAAATGGCACATAGAGTTTTATACCTGAAGCTGTCCAGTGAGGTACTTGCACTAATTTATTCTTATGGAACGAGATGGTTGGTCACATGGTGGTGAAAAAAAACCAAGCTGTTCAGTGAGGGCCTGAAAGCATTTGTTTCGAGTCACGGATAGTCCCAAAAACACTAAAAGTCATACTTTTTTTACTGCCAATTAAATCTTTTGAGAAAAACCTTCTGTGCCAAAAAAACTGAAACTGGCATTTTTTTTAACGTGATGGGCATAGTTATATGTCCTCTGTTAAGGGCCTAAACTAAAAGAATTGGAAAAATGTTTAGTATAGTAGTGAATATCAAGAAATGCACTACTCAAGAATTATTAGTGACTAAAATGTATATAGAACAGATATTACATCTTTCTATAGTTATGTGTCAGGCTTATTCTCTACTCCAGCAAACTATAGAGGGCGCGCTGCTCAGGCAAAATGGCGGACGAAAGGAGGTCGTTTTCGTCGTTCAGCACGCGGACCACCACAAAATCATGCACTGCAGCGTAAAATTAGTGTTGCATTTGAAAGCAAAGCGATTTTTTGACAGTAGAAATCTTCTAGTCAGTGCGTAAGAATGACACGGCGGAATCATAAAAATAATTACTGGAAACAATATTCGTTTCTATGCTGCCTACGAGAACCAAGCAGCGATAGCAGACGACAGAGTCGAAACGACCACCCCTCCTGAGCTTCTCGGCGCTGCCGCTACACGGCGTCGATTTCGCTGGAGTCGCGAATTGCATCAATGATTTTTCGGTTATGGCTAGTGAGAATCAACTTGATATCTGCTGTAATTTCTGTGTTATGTTACTTACAAATGCTATTTATCACTGCATTATTATGCTATTCTCTTGATGTAGTTTCACAGTTGTGCACAACATACTGTAAACAACTCTTAAATTTTCCAGATCACATGACTGCACCTTGCGACCCAGCAGCTCAAGGTCCTTCCAGGGAAAGGCCAACCACTCCTCGTAAGATTCATTTCATGATGATTAGTAATCGACTTTTGATCTGTTCTAATTTTTGCTACAATGAGGGTTTGCCAATTAAATACATTCAAATTGTATCACGGAGAGAGCATTCGTGCTCATGTGGCTTTTATTATTAATCTTTTTAATCTTCCTTCAAATGACAAATCGGACACCAAGATATTTGCAATCTTGAAGTCCCAGTTGTTGTTATCCATGCTTGTGTCCTCTTCCCTTTTCTTCTGCCAAATTCACTTGACACTTTTTCTTTCTTTTCTGCATTGCAACAACCCTTGTCTGTTCCCTTGCTCCTTAAGCTCTTCTTATACTCTTGTTTATTTAATATTTGTTCCTGTTCTCTTACTTATCTGCTACCAAGTTAACCCCGGTCTTAATCCTTGTTTGCTTACCAGGATTGATTTCTCACACTTTAGAATGTTTCAGAACATTCCACAACAAAGGAGAGAAGTGTCACTATCATTAATGATGCTACTTCTCTGAACTAACTCTTATGGAAACAAACTTTTATGTAGATCAAGCAGGACTAAAGACACTGTTAAATGTTTCAGATTTTACTGTGGTAGCCAGTACCTCTGCTGCTACCTTGTTGGCAACTCCCACGAGGGGTAAGCAATAGTTGCTTTGTCAGACTGTTTTGTGGTTGATTTGAGTTCAGTCTTTTAGCTCGTCTTTTTTTATTGCTTAACAAGTCGTGTTTAAGAAAAGTTTGATCATCTTTTAGAGGCCACTGTGGGAGCCAGCACCAAGAGGCCGCTTTCTGGTAACAAGGGTGGACAGCGGCGACCCCAGTCAACTGATGGTAAGGTTAGACACCGAAAGCTAGGAATGAAGGCTTCAACCTTAAAACAGCTATGTGCCATTAGGAAGACAATACAAAAGGCAGCTAAAGGATTGTCGAAATGCCCAGGATGACGAAAAATTCCACCTTTCAATTTTTTAGTATTTTGTTTCACAAAAGGGTTGTGGCCAATACATTGCACCTTTATTTCCAGTTCTAATTCATGGCTGCAACATATTGTTTATCGGGTCAAATAATCTAACACCTGGAGACTCCCTTTAGGAATTTTACATACTCTGTATATAATGATTGGGATTGCTGTAAGTGCACATGTTTGCTGTACAGTTGCAAACTATGGTAAACCCTCAAGGGCTACACCATTCAGCACTTTGGAGAATGGCAGAGTAAGTTTCAGCTTCACTTTCAGACTATGTTCCAAGATGTTTACATTCATATTTGAACTATTTTGCAGTTCCACCTCAAGGGAGGGGTAACTATCTCCGAAGAGCAGAGGAAACACATATACGCTAACACGAGGCCTGCAAAGTTTGCAAAGGACACGGCTCAGATCCTTTGGGGGTCAAAGACGCTGGTGGAGAGGAGCTATGGGGGGAAATTTGCTCCCAAGGACAGGAAAAACCTGGGTGCATCTGCTCGGAAGGAGCTAACCCCAGAAAAGGTGTCCCTCATCCTTGGTGAGTGAGTTATGAAGTGGGTCGCATATAGATCTAATTTTATGCTGAAATATTTTTTCTTGAATCTATTTCACAGAAACATTGACACACTGGGGCCGGACAAAGAATGTTGAGGTCAGCGGTGCCTTTGCCAACATGAACACCATTCTGTCCGAAAAAATCCAGGACACAAGAAAGGGGTTCAGGCGCATGGGCCTGATGCAGGATTAGGCAAATTCCACAGATAGCAAAACAACTTTGTGCATCCCTTCCTGATCACCCTTCAACAGAGAAATAAATCTATGACTTGCAATTTTTCGTCTTAAGACACAATCATTCTCTCGATAACATGTTCTGTTTAGGTAGTCAAAATTAGCCACAAGAATGTGCATAGGTACCTTATTGATGCCTAATGCTCATGGTAAGTAGGCAAAAAGGTCCAAATTCAAAGTGGGACCACTTGCAAAGTGGTCCCACTTTCAAAGTGGTCCCACTTTCAAAGTGGGACCTGTTCTAAATACCACTTTCAAAGTGGTCCCACCTTCAAAGTGGTCCCACCTTCAAAGTGGTCCCACCTTCAAAGGAACAGGTCCCACTTTCAAAGTGGGACCTGTTTCAAATACCACTTTAAAGTGGTCCCACTTTGAATTTTCACCTGGGGAGATGGAAAAAAGATTAGAACAGTGCAACCTAGGTTTTGACCTGAATTACATGGAGGAAGGAAGGTAAATCAACTATTGCCAGGGTTAATGTATGCAGATGACATTGTACTCGTATCAGAAAGCCGTGAGACAATACAGGAAATGATTAGGATTTGCAGCAGGGAAGGGGACAGTTTAGGACTAAAATTCAGTAGGGACAAGTCGGGTATAATAGTTTTCAACGATGAGAAGGGGGAACCCCTGGAGATACAGGACACAGTGATAGAACACGTAGAAAAGTACAAATATCTAGGGGTCTGGCTCAATGAGGGAAGGAAATATCTAGAGGAACACGAGGAGAATACAATTAGAAAAGGGAAAAGAAATTCATCTATTATGAAGCTCAAGGCACTATGGAACTATAACAGATATGAAGTGGTCAGAGGTATATGGAAGGGAGTGATGGTGCCAGGACTGTCTTTTGGCAATGCAGTACTGTGCATGAAATCTGAAGTTCAATCAGGGTTAGAAATTCGACAAAGAAGCGCAGGCAGATTGGCGCTGGGAGCACATGGAAAAACACCAAATGAGGGAGTACAGGGGGACATGGGATGGTCGTCTTTTGAGAGCAGGGAGGCAATTAGTAAGTTGAAATTTGAACAAAGGTTGACTTAAATGGAGGATACGCGGTGGGCACGTAAGGTATTCAAGTATTTATACATGAAAAGTTTAAACACAAAATGGACAAACCGAACCCGAAAGCTTACATTTAAATATCTACACACTGGTGATGGGGCTGAACAGACTACGTCAGTGAAAAAGAAGGTGAAGGAGGCGGAGAGGAAAATGTGGGAGGAAAGAATGCAGGAGAAATCAGCTTTAGCAGTGTACAGGTCACAAAAGCAGGAGATAAGAAAGGAAAAGCTATTTGACAATTCACTGGGAAGTGCTTTGCTGTTCGAGGCAAGAACGGGAGTTTTGAGGACGAGGACGTATAGGGCTAAATTTCAGGAGACCGACACATTATGTGCCGCCTGCCATAATGATAGCGAGACACTGGAGCACTTAGTTTTGAAGTGCACGGAGCTTCGTCCTGCCCTCCCTGAAGGGGTAACGGATTTGGCCGGGGCCCTGCGTTTCACTGGCGACGATGGAAGTATGGTACAGAAAAAGATTACAGTGACGAAGAGACGATTAGAAGATTGGTGGAAATTATCTAGGGAAAATTAAATGATGGACAACTAACTAGCACAGCTGGGGACAGGTGGGACAGAGGAAAATTGGGACTCCCTCCCACAAGGCTCCGGCCCAAAGTCTCAACCCTGTCTCCCAGTGGGTCCGGTGCTGGGGTAACGCCGAAAAGGTTTGACCAGAGGAAAATTGGCGACTCCCTCGCCGGGGGGAAGAGGCAGGGAGGTGATGTTTTTTAATTTTTTTGCCCGATCCCCCGAAGGTCATCCTGGTGATATCCCACACTGCCTGGTGATAGTTAGGGGGAAAAAAATTGGTCTTAAAAGGGCGGGAGGAATCACGTTTTTGTCTTTTTAGACTTAGGCTAGGTGGCGCAAGCTACCGCCCGTTACAAAGGGAATAGTCATTAACATCCATCCATCCATCCATCCATCCATCCATTCCAATCCAATCCAATCCAATCCAAGACAGCGCTGAATTCTTTTTCGGGCGGGAGATTGTATTTCACAACGAGGAGACGACATGGCACCCTTCAATGCTGAACGTCTGCTCGAAATGATCAGGGAACATCGGTTTCTCTATGATCACGGCCACCCCGACTTCAAAGATACTCAAATGAAAGAAAACTGGTGGAAGATAATCGGGGAGGAGTTCGGGATGGAAGGTAAGCGATATGAGGCGAACGCGCACAGTGGATAGAAGTGGCTTTTCTTTTTTCAGGACCAAAAGTGGCTGCCAAGTTCGCCAACCTAAAAGATTGGTGCAGGAAATTACATAACAAGCTGGTTGCAGGGAAAAGGTCTGGCGCCGGATCCTCGGATGCCCCACGTATAACGTGGCGATACTTCGCAATAATTGAGAGCATGATGGCAAGGGAGCGCCTAGGAACGTGAGTGAAGTGTATTTTGCCAAAGTCTTTGAGACGCTTTATGTTTCGAATTTCCGGTTTTAGAGCAATTGGTAGGGGCATGTATTGTGTAAGCTCTCGTTGTGTGAGCATTCCTTCAAGTGAGGTGCACCCGCACGCTCGTGACGCGTTCACGCCCTGCTCGTACCGAAACCTCTCGAACCGTCGATTTCTGAAAATTTAACTTTCCAGGCTTAAAGATAAATACTGGAGACCGCGAAAACTCTAGCACGTACACATTGTCCCGTGCTATCTTATGGTAGAGTGGCATGCAGTATGTGCATCTTATGTAGACTATGACAGGTGGACTTTTGGCGTACTGGAAAAAGTAATTTTCGTTTTTAAATCGACAACGATTTTTTTTTTGACTGCTCAGCATATGGTTCATTACAGTACATGAAAATATAGCCCAAAAACTCAACAATTAAAGGGAAAAGATGTGTATACTAATGTCTGAAAAATAGTTGAAGAAATTTGTGCAGAAGTTAGAACAAAGAGCCTAAACATTTTGGGGCTATATTAAATCATACTATAAGTTTTGAAAATCATACATATACAAAGTGTGCCCCATACACACCCCTACCTCTTCCTTCTTGATTTGCTCGTCATTAAGTGTGCTTCCATTAGTCATGCCGTTTAGAGAACCTGTTGCATGCGGAGATGCATGTTCTCCAGAACACTTTCTTGAAATGCAAACCTTGGCTTGTTATAGCACTGCTCTAACTTCTCCTCTGGTGGTGTTTTTATGGCCTGTTGCACACAAATTGTGTACCCGGACTCGGGACAGCCTACAAAGCTAGAATGGCACTTTCCAATGAGCACTCGACAATATTCTGCACCTCGGAGATGAAACATCGCGGTAGGAGTTCTAATCAAATGATCCAACATTACCCATAGTCCTGAGTGCTGCTGTCATTTAAGAAAACAAGCAGCAAAAGCAGTTTCATTGTGCAATTGAGGCCATCTTTCTACAATTTCTAACAAGGTACAAAGTATGGGGCATTAACTTTCCTACATTGAACCACAGCTGTTTAAAGAACTTACGGGTATGCCAGCACTGTCCGCAATAGTACCTTTATCAAAAAAACTTTCATACATTCAGTGAGGACCATACATTGGTGGCATAGTACATTCAACATAATGTACCTTGTAGCAGCAGTCAATGCTCACACTGCAGATCAAACCCAGGTATCCTGGGCTCAATCCCTGCCTTTGGTGGTTTCAGTATGATCCAGCATTGTACTGGCCTGCAGTCATGTATTCACCTGTACATATGCTGCAATGCCTCCAGATTGGCAGTCGTAGTGTACTGGCTAAATTGCTCCTCTACAGCACTCCATCAGTATGGACCAGGGTATAACCATTTGAGGTGAGGAGCTACTCAACATTATTGCTCATAATGTTTCTTCCTTGTGCATCTCCATTTATGAAGCCAGCACCTTGCATCTTGAATCAAGCATAAA